TTTTTTTTTTGTTTTGTTTAAATTAAAGTTTTTTGCCTTTCAGTTGATCAAGTCTCAATCCCTTGCCTATTGCAGTATCCCAGTTCTGCAGCATTTTGCACAGCTTTCTTAACTCAAAACATTTTTGGAAATAGCAAGGCCAAGCATGATTTGTTGACGTGAAGAGATTTCTTACGGTAACACTACAGCCAAACAAACCTAATTACCTAATTAGATCAGCTGCCAACTTCTGGCTTACTGAAACTATTTCCACACTGTTATGAGTCTGCATATTCACACGTGGTTGAGAGCATCTAAAGGTTCAATACATTAAGGAAAGCCATCACATTCAATTCATATTGCAAACACGCACGTTACAGCATTTCCAAATGCTTAAAGGATCAAATATTTTTGATACCCAAAACAATTCATGTAGACTTTAGGTTTTTCTGTGCATTGGGATTAAACACAAGTAGTAACAGGTGAAGGAAACGTTCTCTTGGCTAGAGGACAAACTACAAAGCTCAGTTAAAAATGAAAAAGAAGGGAGACAACTGCAAGGAAGAAAGGAAAGAGAAGGGGAAAAAGTATACATGCTAGAAAAATCTCCTCTATCACAAGGGAAAAAGCAAAGCTTTCTAAGGCAGAACTTCTCTTTCAAGTATCTGCAGTTTCACAGTGATCTCAAGAAGTCCAAACACTTTTGGGAAAAATTTGGTCATTAGCAGATCTGAAAGGTAGTTACAGACATGTGTTTAGGTACAAAAGGAGGGAAACATGAATAGCAGGAGAAAAAAAAAAAGGAACAGCAAGTGGAAATAGGCTGCCCAGGGAAGGTGGTTGAGTCCCCATCCCTGGATGTGTTTAAGAATAGGGTGGATGATCTACTTAGGGATATGGTTTAATGGGTATTAGGGACGGTTGGACTCGATGATCTCTAAGGTCTTTTCCAACCTAGAAATCTATGAAATCTATGGAAAAAGAATAAGTCTGTGAGAATCAAGAAGAGAATTCTGTAACTACAATAGTATGTGGGAAAGGGTGTAAGTAAAGGTCATTTGGAGACTGAAAGCAGAATAAAAAAAAACCACAACAAACCAAAACAAACTGACTTGGAATCTAATAGCTCGAGAGACATCACCAGAGACACAACACATCCAGGATGCAGAGAGAGAGAGGACTCAGACAAGACTCCAGTGCCAGTGTACCACTCCAGGCTGTGCTGCCATTTGATGCACCCGATGCCCCACTCCCCCTACTGCAGGCATAGTAAGAGAAAGCCTCAGTACATGAGTGGGATGTAAGAGTTTTTTATCACTGTGGTGCTCTGGGGTCTGCAAGTCAATGCACACACCTCATGCAGAGCAAAAGACACTTACAGAGCAACAGATGCAGTGGCAGCAGCAGGGCAGAGGGAGGTGAATATGGGTCCCACTTACACCTGGGAGAAGCAAAGAGGAAAGTTGACAGCAAGTTGAATGTGAGGGTGTGTATGTGCGTAAAAAAAAGCCTTAATGGCATGCCAAATAGATGGCTTTTAGTATTTGGGCACTCACCTCCCCGGCAGGCCTGAATAAAGAACATTTTGGGCTTATTCTGGAGATTTGGACAGTTTGCATTATCAAAGAGCCGGAAAGCCTCCTGCAACTGAGAGAAAAACGAACATAAATACTCTTCACTCAGCCCCTGTGAGCCAAACCCTGTCTCACCTTGCTCCCCTGTATTTTGGTTATTACCTCACCAGTCTTGACGTTTTCTCTTTTATCTCCAAACTCACTGTGTGACAAACACATCCCTTTCCTTCCCAGCTCCTACTAGTTTGAGGTCATGCACTCTACCTAGCACTTGTACAGAAAGAGAGAATGAATAACTTCTCCTACCTGCCTTATTTTTGATCTTATAGATCTTTCATAGACAGACCCTCCCCTTTTCTTCCCTTATTTTTCCCTTTTTAAAAAACGGAAATTGTCAGCTCCCATCACTTCGCCCTCTCTCTCACTTTTTTTTTGGCTTTTTTTCCTCTTTGCGTTGTTACTTTCCAAAATATAACCTACACCACCACATCAGGACACAGAAATATACACCTGTAGTAGTTTGCCATCACTGCCATAAACTCCACCCTCCACACCGTGGGAAAGTAAAGCTACAATACAGGAATCCACATCCCGATGATCTGGCAGCTTAGAGAATCTCTCCAATGCATTCTGCATCTCCTGGAAGAGAGGGAAAAAAAAAAAAGAAGCTTTCCAAATTTGCATAGGGAAAGTGGGTCAATACACAGGGAAAAACACAAATGGTCCTCCTGTTATGAAATAAAGCCTATGTACATCAAATTTACAGGAAAAAAGACACGTGCTCCATAAAAAAACAGCAAATTGTTCCTGTTCTTTTATGTATTATTCAGTCCTAAGCACAGCATTGTGAAGCAGGAATCTCTTAGGACATCTATGTTTCTGTATGGCTGACAGGGGGATGCAGCAAGTACTTGAGTTGGTACATATGGATTCAACATCAACTGCTATCTTGGAGGTTTTACACTGACACTGGAGTCTGGCTGGGATACTGGAGCAACTGAACAGATACATACTGTGCTACTTCAGATGTTCAAACACTAGTGATTGAAAAACAACAATTCAAAATGGAAAACTTTAGGAATTCTGACAACATGGCAAGTCCAAAAGTCTTATTCTAATGTTGCAAAAGCTGACTTCTTGAATAGAACACTCTTTAACGGGTTCCATCCCACTTGGTATCACAGGGATATAACAGGAATAAGAACAAACGAGGCCGGAGAAGGCAGCAATTGCATTCCTAAAAAAACCTTGATTCAGTCAGCCATGGAACACTGACCATTTTCCTAAGTGAAGCACAGCCACTTCTCTAGGAAAGCAAAGACTGAAAGAGTGGAACTTAACTGCACAGATACTGGAAGGCTCACAAACAGGATGGCAACTGACTCCATCACTGAAAGGACATGAAAACATTACTTACACTTGCAAAGACTAGGTCAAATATTTGCAGAGGTTAACTTTCAGAATAGCAGATCACTAGAAAAGTCTATCTAGAGTAAACTGGAGACTTTATTCATTTTTGGTTTTAACACATATGCCACGTGGGGTCTAGAAATTCCTGCCCCTTGCACTGTAAGGGGTCAGACTAGAGTATCATAGAATCATAGAATGGTTTGGGTTGGAAGGGACCTCAAAGATCATCCAGTTCCAACCCCCCTGCCATGGGCAGGGACACCCTCCACTACACCAGGTTGCCCAAAGCCCCATTCAACCTGGCCTTGAACACTTCCAGGGATGAGGCAGCCACAACTTCTCTGGGCAACCTGTTCCAGTGCCTCACCACCCTCAGAGGGAAGAATTTCTTCCTTATATCTAACCTAAATCTCCCCTCTTTCAGTTTAAAGCCATTGCCCCTTGTCCTATCACTACATGCCCTTGTCCAAAGCCCCTCTCCAGCTTTCCTGTAGCCCCTTTAGGTACTGGAAGGCTGCAATAAGATCAGCCCGGAGCCTTCTCTTCTCCAGGCTGAACAGCCCCAACTCTCTCAGCCTGTCTCCATGGCAGAGGTGCTCCAGCCCTCAGATCATCTTCGTGCCCTCCTCTGGACCCGCTCCAGCAGCTCCATGAGTAGCAGCTCCAGTAGTACCTCTTGCGGTCCTTTGTGATCCTAATTCCCATCATAAAGTCCTCTGCACTCCAAGTTTCTTCATATTTGTCAGTATGCTAGCAGGCATCATCCCATTTAGCCTTATTTTCCATTCCTAACTGACCATTCACATCTTCCTGTTTAAGCTTAGTTACACCAAAGGGAACCTCTTAAGATATTTATGCAACAATTACAAACTCTCATTCATGCTGGTTGTGAAGTACTGGGATCCATTGCCCTTACCTGTGCAGTCTGATCATTCAAGACAGTAACTTGATATCCGAGATGCTTGAAAAGCATCTCCAGGGAAGTACAGTCCACATCACCCCCTGCACGATACTCCAGGTCCTTCTCACTGCTGAAATGGACATTGCTGAGAATAAGTGCTAAACCTCGGGGCTCTGATATCAGTTTATATGCCTGAGAAGAAAATTTAAAATTGGTAAATTTAGACAAGTGTAACACTACAGAGTGTTAGAGCAGAACAGTAATCCCAGCAAGCCAACTTGATACGATATGCAGGACTTCTTGATTGAGAAAGTACAAAAACAGTAGAAGTCAAATTATTTTTTTTTTAAATAAATAAAGCAAATGTTTGTATTGCAAAGGGTTCCAAAGCTGTATTTGCAGCTGATGATCCTACAACACTATTAGTAAGATGTTACACTAGCTTGCCTTATTTCTCGTTCCAAAAGAAACACAGCTCATACATTTCCAACTGTGAATCAGGTCTTGCTAACTTTTTTCACCCCTCACCCAAGCACAGCCCCACACACTTCTGTCGTGCCCATCAAAGGCCTTAGGACAATACTATGCAAAATTTAGCTAACGTTTCTCAATTGCTGTTGGGAGCAGAGATGTAAAACAGCATGTGAGTGCAGTTTTAATAGCAAGGGACTGTCAGTCACTGATCCTGAAAGTTACGTGGCTAGTAAAAAAGGTTAACAGGGAAATAACTAATTTAAGAAGAGTGTCTTCCAATTAAGTTCCTTCTCTGCCCCTCCTAACTCTAACAACAAAGAATCAACAGTAAATCAGTTACTAACACTCCTGTGAGACGTGAAATTTAATACCAAAGGAGCATACCACAAAGGGTGTATCCAGGAGCAGATGGAAAAGGAAGAAAGTCAAACTCACACTGGTGCTGCCTAATCAGGTCTCCCCAACAGATAGTTACAAAAAAAAAACCAAATCTGTTTTGCTGTACACAGAGCCTGTGACAGAAGTGTTAAGTGTCAGCACATTCTGTAACTCTAGTAAAGTGTCTGCCCCATTATGCAAAATTATTTTTATTTTTACAAACAGAACAAACAAAACGTAATTACCTACATAACTTCTAGTGTTACAGATGAGGAAGAGAAATTCAGGTTGTTTGACCCAGTACTACCCAGCACAGAATCCTCATCTAGTTCTTGAGCCTAGGGACTCTTCCAGGTTCAAGCTGGCAATTAAACCAGCCAAGACTGTGGCTACTGGTTGAAACACAGTTCTGGTATCTTATAGTCCTTTGCAGAGTATGCCATGAAACAGATGGAGATGAGGGATGCAAATAAATAGGAGGCAATAATACTCACAGCTTACACAGAGCAACAGAGCAGAAGGCATTTCACCGAAGCTCTCCATGAACAAAAACCAGAGGCAGAGATTTGTACAGAGTTACAGAACTTCTCGGAATTTCTCAGTACTTGTGAACGAGAACTACATCAAATCCAACACGACTGGCAACATCTCTCAGTTACACAAACAGCACGACACTGATGTGCACCCCGATGAAGCATGTGTTTCCACTTGGTTTTACGTAGCACATGCTCAGCTGACACATCCAAACACCTCATCTTTTACATTTTACATAGATTTTTTTTTTCTGTCAATTACTTACCAAGTGCTGATGATCATGATAAAATTCAGGAGTGCAATACTTCACTGGAGGAATCGGGGGACCATCTCCGTTATCCAAGGAATGTTCCATGGGTTCTGTGCAAAACAAACGTATCAACAGCAATAAAAAATTTCAACTACAAAGCCTCTGCATTAAGGTAGTGACTTGCAAATTCTCCATTATGTGATCTTAAGCATATTGCTGTATTATATTATTCACACCACTACAAATTTTGCCTGATCAGGGACTACAGACATTCAATGGAAAAGAGTAGAAAAAGAAAGTACTGGAATGTATCAACAGCAATAAAAAATTTAAACTACAAAGCCTCTGCATTAAGGTAGTCATTTGCAAATTCTCCATTATGTGATCTTAAGCAAATTGCTGTATTATATTATTCACACCACTACA